GGCCTTGAACTCACTTGTAGCCCAGGCCAGTCTTGAATCCACCAGAGCCTCTAGAATATTTAGGATTACAGGCTTGAGCTGCCCTCATCACAAGGGATAAAAAGAAAATGTTCTAGACCTAGACAGCGTAAGAGCTGCACACTAGATGGAACGGACGCATTAAATCCCATTGAACTGTACACTTTAAAGTGGCTAAGCTGGTTACATACTATAATTTCAATGTTATCTTAAGTATAAAACAAATACAAGGAAAATCACCTCCACCAGCAACAACAACAACAAAACCCCACCAAGCTGTATGACTTCAGGGTAAGTAATACAGCCTCTCTGAACCTAAAAATCATAGGCATATGAAACATGCTCCTCCATGGCGGTTGGGTGGACTCTGAGGAGGGCCTGTGGAAAGAGACCAGGACAGAATCAGATGTAGGCTGCTCGTAATACTTATCAGGATGTGCTGAAGCAACTCACCCGAGGTTTGGAAGTTTCCATGCTGTCAAGTAATCCTTTTAACTAAGCGGGACCAAAAAGACAGTTGGGGGATGGAGGACAGGTAAGATGAAGGATAGGAAGGACGAGAATCTACAGTACATTTACTGTTTTGTTTTTATTATTGGCACAGGGTCTCAATGGCTGGCTTAGAACTCACTATGGAGATCAAACTGGCCTTGAACTCAAAGAGAACTGTCTGGCTCTGCCTCCACAATCCCAGCACTGAGATCTGTGACACCATGACGAAGTCAACGGGTTTCTTTTGGGGGGGTGGGGGGGGGAGTGTTGCATATGCTAGGCAAGTTCTCCACAGCCCAATTCTAACCCCAGCCCTGTATGATATTTACGAGTCTATACTGTTTTGAGGTAGGAGACACAGTTAACTCCATCATAGAGACTAAGGGGCTGCTTTGCCCTGTTAGCTGTGTGATGATCTAAGCTTCTTGCTGTTCTGCCTTGTCCTGCAGGCCTAGGCTCTATTATGAGAACAGGGGGACCTTAGGTAGGAGAGAGGCTCCGTCAATTCAAAATTCCGTGTCTGCAAACAGCTTTCTAAAAACTCAGACTCAGCCAGTAAGCAGCACCAAGGTTGGACCCCCTGCACCCATGCACAAAGCTGCATGTAGCTGCATGTACTGGTGAACCAAGGGCTGGTGAGGTCGGAGTAGGGGGACCTGGGGCTTGAGCCAGCCTACCCAAATTGGCAAGCTCCTGGCTTGGTAAGAGACCCCATCTCAAAAGCATAAACTAGAAAGTGACTGAAGAAGACACCTGAAGTGTATCTCTGGCCTCCACACGCAGGTGCATACATGTGCACATGCACGTACACACGTAAAACGCTGAGAACTTGAGTCTGGAAAGATGGCTAAGCGGGTAAGACCATGTTTGCTCTTGCAAAGGACTGCAGTTTGAGTCCCATCATCCATATCAAGCGGCTCCCAGTTACCTGTAGCTCCAATTCCCAGGAGATCAGATCCTCTGGACACCAGACAGAGACATACAGACATAGACTCAGACACTAAAAATAAATCTAAAAAAACTCAAAAAACCCAAAAACCAAAAACCTCTTCAATCTCACAGGTGTGGACACGGACTCCAAGTTTTCTTATCTCAGAGTGATTTGGGACTGATCTGAAGCAGAACTTCAAGCTTCCCCAGGCAAGGTGTCCCACCACCACCTACCCCTGTGGCTGACACTGAGCCCAGGAAAGAGGGGAGGAACGGTAAACAGGATTTCAGGCTGTCACAGGAACTTTTCTTTCCTTGGGCCCTGGAGCATATGGCAGGTGTTCTGAAACTCCATTCTTGTCTCCCCAGGCCGGCTGAGCCCCTCGACATGTGGGTGGGGCGTCTGCCTCTCCATCTGGATGGCCCTCTTCCTCCACCATGGCGACAGCAATACAATGGAGTCTCCACTGTGAGCCTTGCATCCTGGCTCCCCAGACAGACGCTCCGGGAGAACTCCATGGCCCCAAGGAAATATAAGTCCCCTGCCCCCAGCAGGCCTCGATGCAGCCCACAGATCACAGAAGCAGCAGGCCAAAGGCCACGGTGTGGCTGAAACATGATGCCTGCTCTGCCCTTCTCTGATGGAGATGTCTCACAGGTCTCTGTCTCTCTTCCTGAGATGATAAGATGCTACAAAAGGCCGGGATCTGACCAAAGTTAGCTCCCACTGATAACTTGATTCTAGCTGGCCTGGGTTAGAGACAGCATACAATAGGGTGGAGATCCTAAGGGAAAATAAGACGGAGTTTGGGAAACTTGAAAGCCACTCTCTTGCCAGGCACTCTGACAGATGCCTGCAGTCTCAACACTATGAGGGAAATCACAAAGTTTGACAGCAGTCTGATCTATATAGTGACTTCCAGACTCACTAGGGCTACATAGCAAGACCCTGTCTCAAAAACCAACCAACCAAACAACAAACTGTCTATTCAACCAACCAACCAACCAACCAACCAACCAACCAACCAATGAACTAAATAAACTCTACAACAGCTGTGTGGTACACACACATGCACAGGCGTGCACACACACACACACACACAGACACACACACACACGTGTGTGTGTGTATGATAACCATCACCGAGTGATGATAACCATGGAGCTTAGAGTAATATGCCAGGATGAAAAAAATCCACAGCAGAAAGTGGGTGCCACCCTCCTATAACATCAGCTAATAAGTATTCAACAACATGGGGTAGTAGCACAGCATGAAAGAGAATGTAAAATCTGATTGCAAGTTAAGTGTAAAATATTAATATTAGATGCCAAGGCAATGTCCTTAATGGCAGCTGTCTAGTTTGAGCCCAGGACATCAGGAACATTCCACTTCCCTGCACTAAGGGGCAGCACAGAGGGATGGAACCCCAGTTCTGAGGGATCCCCAAGCTTCACTTCACTTATTTTGCTAGTCCCACAAATGCTCTTATGAGGACTGATCTTGTGCCAAGCTCTTTTCCCTCTCTCCAACTCTCTGTGTGTGGTGTGCATGTGTGTTCATGTGTGTATGGGTACATGTTGGGTGCACCTGTGTAAGAAGGCTAGAGACTGACAGTAGACTTCTTCCTAGATTGTCCTCAACCTTATAGACCAAGGCAGGATCTCTCACTTGAACCTATGGTTAGTCTAACTAGTTAGCTCGTGCTGCAGATCCCCTGTCTCAACTTCCAGAATGCTGTGGGTTGCCACATTAGCTTGGCATTTATGTGCACGTTGGAGATTCAAACTGCCAGCACTTTACCCACTGGGACATCTCCCCATATCTAGTGGGTGTCAATTCTAAGTACATGATCCTGTGTGTCTATATATCTGTAACCTCAGCCGTGCAGAAAAGTGGGGGATGTTTCCAACAGGGGTGTTTCTAAGTCTACAAAGACAGCAAGAAGCAATGAAGGCAGAGGTTGTACCGTTTGCTATAGTCAGTGATGCGACAGAGCTTTACTGGTGTGGTTGCCATCCAGGGAGCGATGAGGAGAAAGACATGAATCCAGAGGGGAAAGAGCTTGAGGGTTAGCCGTTGTTATACTGAGGCTCTTGGTCCACCACAGAACAGTTTTAAATGGCAAGGTGACAGCAGATGTGTGGTCAGGAGCTCATCCAAGCTACAGTACAGTGATACAGTAAGCCTCACTCAGAAGGATAGGTGTTGGTCCAAGGTCTACCCTGCTGCTGGGGTGCTGGGCATGGCCACTGAGGAGGTGAAACTCTGGGAGCTTGACTGTGCTTATCCCACAGCCGTCAGGTGCTAGGCTTCAGGATAGCAGTGAGATACCGCTCAAGGAGTGGGAGAACTCAGACTAAGATGTGGGCAGGCCTAAGTAGCATTCCCTGACTTCCTAGCCTCCAGTCACTGCTGGAGAACTGCACAGAGAAGTCGGGAACAAAGTGTTGGGGGTCCACGGGCCCGAGATGAGACTGGGACCAGGCACTCCCAAACTCCTGGACATTCTGGTGCCCCTGAATCTTGAGGAATTTAGAGAAGAGTCAGGGCCCCTCATCAGCTAGAGGGACGATGGGAATAGGAACTCTTGCTTGGCTTATCAATGATTGTTCTTAGCTTGGTGATGGTTGTCTGGAAGCGCAGAGAGGCCTTCTGTGGGAGACTTCTCCATGCTCCCCATGGCGATTTTGATGGAAGAGATAGTCCATGTTTATCTATACTGTTTGTTGACTGTTCACCATGGAAAATGGATGCGTACCCACTTCTCAGTATGGACCAGAGATTAAATACCTTTTGCAGGGAGAATGTCCGGGAAGGAAAGCTTATTGGCTAAACCCTCAGGGCCTGTAGATACCTCATTAGCATAGAGAACTCTGTTTTTAGCTATGTGACCAATGTGGGGAGTGTGGACACATGTTCCAGGCCAGGAATCAGGCAGGGAGCAGGGAGGTGCCTATCGTCTCAGATGGATGCCCAGGTGCCGGGGACTCAGACCCGCTCTACCTTACCAAGTTTCTGGCATGGTCCACTGTTGCACAGACAGGTGGCCAGAGATTGGCTGTTCTCAGTGAGGCCTCGTTGGAAAGTGTAGACCATAAGGCATGTGCTCACGCCTGGGTACTACATCATGGATTCAGTTTAGGTCAAGTAAAGCTGTTCCATCTCTAGACATCTCTAAAAACAGTGAATGCTAGGACCTATTCAGAGAGCCCTCGTGAAAAGAAGCAGGAGACACGAAGTCAAGGGCACAAGCCAGGCATCAAGAACTTGTGGTCTCAAATACTATCTGGGCAACACAAAGCAACTTTCTAAGCTTCTCTGAGCCTTAACAACACGGGGTACCAAGACTGTCTTCTAGAGTCACTGTGTAGATTCATTAAGTTCAAGCTGTGAATATCCTTAGTAGTTTGTTTCTCTGGTGTAGTATAGGCACAAGAAATAATGGGAGTTATTAAGACAACTCACACTCAGCAAAGGTTGAACACAGAGGCCATGGAAAGGTCACAGGATAAGTAAAGGCTTAGCAGCAACTCAGCCGACCGCACAGATTTCTACTTACTGGCCAGCAGGAGGCAGGAGACAGCCACAGTATACAGCTGCTTGGAGGTGGTGATGTTGTACTGGTCCATAAAGTGGTCCAAAAGGTAGATGGCCAGGTGCCGGGCTGAGGGGCAGAGATGGCAGTGTCTGCTCAGCAGGGTCAGAATGTCTACAAAGAACCGACGGCTCTTCAGGAGTGGGGAGTGGGCACGGAAGGTGGGCAGCTTCAGTTCCTGGAGGAAGGTGAACAGAGAAGGGTCAAGGACACTGAGACCCAGGGCCAGCCTGTGGACTGACAGGGTGGGCAACGATTCCCTGTACAATCTCGCTCATTTGTTTAAAATCTCAGATGGTGATGCTTCCGTTTTAGAAACTCTGAACCAGTTCCCATTCACCCTCCCTAATCACAAGCCCATTAGGACCATCATGAGGATGGGAGAAAGCCGGGCTTTTCCCCGTGAAAGGTGTCGTGGAGATACCCAAGGTAATGAGAGAATGGTGGCCCAGAGGAAGAGACTGACATCCAAACTCTGGTTTTATCGAACAGTTTTATTTATCCAGTCACTTTTCTTCCTTTGCTTCTTCTTCAGTAGCTGAGGTTTAATGAGAACATATGTCAAACATCTAGCACACAGGAACCTCTCAGGGTTCTCTGCTAGCCCCCTCTGTGATTAGAATTGTGAGCGATCATTTTTTCCTCTTTGGGGAAAACTAAACAAACTACAATACTAGAATGTGTTGCTGAACATGACTGTAATCCCAGAACCCAGGAAGTGGAGGCAGGAAGATGGTAGAAAGTTTGAGGCCAGCATGTTCTGCACCATGAGTTCTAGACAGCCAAGGCCACATAGCAAGGACGTGCCTCAAGAAACAGACAGATTTGAAAGACTAATTCAAGAAACTAGCAAATCCTGTCCACCATGATCACTGCTGGTTGACATTCTGCCTCTGTCTATACCTTCACACATGGCTACCCACTCCAGGTTCTGAACACCCTGATTCTCCTCTCACCAAAGAAGTAACGTCTACTTTGTCATTTCTACACTGCCATGTCTTCTGAATGTATATCTGCTGAACACAAGAAAAACAAGAGAAAGAAATATTAAACTAAGAATGTGCTTACTTATTTTGGAGGCAGGATCTTATTCTATGGCTCAGAGTAGCTAGCACCTACTTTGCAGCCATGGCTGGTCTTAAAGTCTTATAAAGCCTGCTATCTCCCCTTCTCAGCTTCTGGGATTTCAGATTTAAGCCATCAAATCTTTGTTTTTTTTTTTCTTTTTTGAGAGTCATTTTATTTTATGTGCATGAGTATTGGCTTGTGTATGTTTGTGTGTGTGTGTGTGTGTGTGTATACAAATGTCTTTGTACATCCCTGATGCTCTAGGATGCCCTGGGTCCTGTGGCAACAGCAGAAAGTGCTCTTAACTACCAGGCTATCTCCCTACTCATCCTCTCCATTTTCTCCTCCTCCCCCTCCTTAAAAGAAGGTAGCATGTATGTAGCCCAGGCTGTGTAGTCCCGACTATCCTGGAACTCACTCTGTAGACCAGGCTGTCCTTGAAATCACAGAGATCTGTCTGCCTCAGTCTCTGAGTGCTGGGTGTGATTCAAGGTATGCATCGCCACTGCCCAGTAATATTTGCCTTCTAAGCGAGACAGGTTAGATATTTGTTTAGGAAGTATCTCAGTGCTCTCAGCTTTAGTACTATTTCCCTTGTAGACGCTCCCAAGTCAGGAGAGCAAAGTGGAGGAAGAAGTGAACAGGCAGGCTGGAGCCAGGAGAAGATGGAGGCAGAGGTCAGGTTGCATGCTGGCCTACACGCCCATGCAGGCTGCAGACACGGGACTAAGGAATGCTGGAGGCTGGAGGCTGGAGGCTGACACATGCTGCTGGGCTGTCAGTAATGTGTCTCACTGGGTCTGGAACGTCACCATCTCTGATTGCTGAAACTACCTCTGAGACTGCGTTGCTCACACCTAAACATCCCTGTTGGTCCTCTGGCCTGGACCTGCTGGATTAGTTCAGTTCTCACACTTGGCTGAATGTAGCATGTGCACACACACACACTGTCTGTCTGTCTGTCTGTCTGTCTGTCTGTCTCTCTCTCTCTCTCTTACACACACACACACACACATACACACACACACACATCTTAGTGACATTCTGTCAAGTAGGAAAACAGAAAAGAACAAAACTAAAGGAAAACGGGACGGAAGTTGGGAGACAAGAAATTATGAGCACTTATTAGTGACGTCAAGTGCCCTCATTCTGTGTCAGCCCAACGTCCAAATGGTGTTGAGGACTGAACCGAGATCCACGCACACGCTGTCCCTCTAACCCTTTACTCAACCAGCTGCAGACAAGGACCTGACAGAAGTGTCTGTTCATTCATTCACTAGAGACTCGAACTCATTTATTTCACTCAGTATCACAAACCTTCTACACAGGCACGAGACATTATTTTAGGCCCTGGGTATACAGCTTCTGTAAGGCAGATCAGACTAAATGTAAAATTTGAAACTGAAATTCTTAAAGAAAGACAGGAGGAGTAAATACATATGACTTTAGACAAAGCAATGCTTTCTTTCTCTTTCTTTCTTTCTTTTTTTCTTTCTTTCTTTCTTTTCCCTTTTTCTTTTCTTTCTTTCTTTTTTCTTGTTGTCGTTTTTGTTTTTTCAAGGCAGAATTTCTCTGCATAGCCCTTGCTGTCCTGGAACTCACTCTACAGCTCAGGCTGGTCTTGAACTCACAGCTCCTCCTCCCTCTACCTCCCAAGTCCTGCAATTAAAGTCATGTGCTATCATTGCCGAGCTTAAAGCAATGGTTTCTTTCTCCCTTTTTTGTTAATGAATTTTTAAAATTTTATATGCACTTGTGTTTTGTCTGCATGTATGTCTGTGTGAGGGTGTCAGATTTTTGGTGTTATAGACAGTTGTAAGCTGCCACATGGGTGCTGGGATTTGAACCTGGGCCCATTGGAAAAGAAGTCAGTGCTCTTAACTGATAAGCCACCTCTCTGGCCCCCAAAGCAATAGTTTTTTAAGTATGATTCTAAAAGCAGAAGTATAAAAAAGAAATATAAGCTAGATTTTGAAGTTAGACTTTCATGCTGGAGAGAGGGCTGAGAGATTAAGGGCTTGCTGTTCTTCACAAGAACCTGAGTTCAATTCCAAATCAACAGTCCCTGTGTAATCCAGTTCTAAGGGATTTGATACCTTCTTCTGGTCTCTGAAGGTACCTGCACATGTATGCATATGTACATACATATAAAATAAAAACAAATCTTAAAAAAATAAAACAAAAAAATGAGCAAAGGATCAAAAAAAACAAACGTTTCTCTAAAGAAGATTAAAAATGGCTAGTAAGCAAATAAAAAGGTATGAACATTGCTAATTGCTAGGGAAACACAAATTGAATCACAGGGAAGTAACACTTCACATTCCCTGGGATGGATATTGCTTTAAAAATGGAAGAAACAACAAAACAAAAAATTAAAACAAAAAACCCAAAACAAACCCAAACAAAACAAAAAAATCAGAGAGGGCATCTACTGTGGGAAACAGTGTGGCAAATCCTCCTACTATACTCTGTCACCACATGAGCCAGCAATTCCAGCCCAGGTACAGACCTAAGAGAGATGACAAAATGGCTGTGCTACAAAGAAAGTTGCAAATCCGTGACCAGCTTGGCTGAAACTTAGGTTCTGATCTCCTGACCTTTTCTTCTCTTCTGGCTTGTCTTCAGAGATCAAAAGGTGAGGATCAGCTAGCTTTGCTCACTGAAGACGCACAGAGCCTGGATAAATTCCTTCCTATCGCTTAGGCTCGCTCATGAAGAAATTGGGTTTGAAAAAGCCCTTTAATCCCAAGGCTTTTACTGAATTAGCCAGAGAGCTGAAGGCCAGAAGACTTTCAAAATAATGGGTTTCAGTCTGACATTTTCATATGCATGTATCGTTGTACATTGCGCTCTCTCTCTCTCTCTCTCTCTCTCTCTCTCTCTCTCTCTCTCTCTCTGTGTGTGTGTGTGTGTGTGTGTCTCATTTAGTTTAACCAGAACCATCTGTGTGAGCACTAGATTGAACCTATTCATTATAGCCTTGCGTGGTCACCAGTGGGTACACAACTGAGTGCAATGACTATCAGTAGCTGTCTTGAGTAAGTGTTCTAAGCACACACCATTTGGGGGCATTCAGTTATGCCCTCTTGCAAAAGGGTTATCCCAGCTGGGCTTGTTGCCTATTTATACCCATTCAGGGTCACAAAGCCCTCACCTAAGAATCTAGCCATTCTCTACCACCTGTCCCAATGCAGCCTTTATTACACATGGCTTCTGGGAGGGGATAGACTATTTAGGATTGGGGAGCCTCTGGGAGGGAGGCTCCATCTACCAAGCCATAGGAAGCCATCATTCCTGCTGGGTCAAAGGCTTTCCAGGTGTGGCTTTTTCAGGGGAGGAGCCCTCACATCCTTGTACATAATCTCTCTCGTTTACACTCTGTAAGGAAGCCACAGAAACTCATTGGTTCTTCTAGGATGAACTGTGGCTGAGTAACACCTAGTAGTTAAGGCCTCAGGAGAAGGGATAGACTAACTTCTCTCTCTGGAAAGGAATTTTAGCCAACAGTAGCAAATTCAGGAGACAGGAAAGCGGCTCTCCGAGCCCTTCCTCCATCCATGCCTGATTGCTGACAGGCCCATTCTTGTGCAGATCTAGTGCAAGGTTGGCAGCTGCTGAGTTCGGTAATTCTGATGGCTCTGTGTGACCCAGTAAATGGTTTGTTTGTCCTTTTTTTCCCCTGCCCTAAGAAAAGGTCTTCTGCAGCCTAAGATGGTTTTTAATTCACTGTGCAGCCCAGGATAACCTTAAACTCCTGATCCTGTCATGCTCTCCTCTGAGGTACAGGAATTACATGTGGAGTCACTGTGGTTGACTGATATCTATCTATCTATCTATCTATCTATCTATCTATCTATCTATCTATCTATCTATCTATCTCTATATCTATCTATCTCTATATCTATCTATCTATCTATCTATCTATCTAT